TAAAGCTGGGTTTAAGTTATTCTTAAGGCATAAAATTTTGATTATAAGTCGTCTTCTACAATTTATATTTCAACTCAGAGCATTGATTGAGTATGTCCGCCTATTTTATAAGGACTCGTAATAAGCTCAAGTTGGATCATCTCTCTTTCCTTTCTGCATACTGGACAAAGTATGCACAAATCTATTCTCGCATTTTTATGGGCACTGGATCTGAGGTGGGGATTCCAGGCTTATATTATAAACGCCTGACAGACCTTTATCACAAAGGCTTCAAATCTAGCAAGCTTATTTTAGAGGTTTGACCTCGTTCGGTAGTGTTGACAGGTGGATATAGATGAACGTATTTCGGCCGAGGTCCTCTGCAGGAGTTGTGATGATAATTTCAAGTGTCGAACAGTGGACTAGGCATATTCACACACTTTTCGCTAGCCTCTCAGCCTCTTTAGGAGTCTTGCCACTCTTAGCACCAAGCTACAGTTCGTTAATTAGATAAATGAAGCCCATCCCTCGATCAAATTTCTGGCCAAAGATAGTGATATCTATCCTCTTTCTGTCCTACTCCGTATTTTGGTATATTAATACCTTAATGTCGCACATTTTAACTTGCTTGTACTAGACTCCTTCAAAGGCTTTCCCTTTGTAGCGGGTTTACGACGTGATCACTCCTCCCGCTGACTTATCTTCCCCCCTATTTAAATTGCAGGAATTTCTGAATCAACTCAGACCTTTCAGTTCTCAAACTTTTTCGCTCAGCAACTATCCAAACTCAATTGTTCTCACGAATATCCGTTTCTTTTATCACTTGGTGACTAATTTCGCGAACATTTGCTTCTACATATACTGTGAACTTACTGCGCAAGGCTCTTAGGTCCTGATTCCAAAGCTTGCTGATATCGCACCAGCACTAAATTCCATCCTAACACTGCGCTTTTTATCTCATTTTAGTATGTTTTCTGTGATCATTTATTGTCTTCATGGGCCATTTTATGCTTTAACCCGTGTAGTCCAAACCAACTGAGAACCTATACCTCCGATCTCCGCTACATCTTGAATGTACTTGCAATCGAACTGACCCTTATCCATGACATAACGACACATAACGACAAATTCCCGTGTCAGCTGTGACTATTCCTTGTAATTCAGATCCCCAAAATTTGTAGTCGTTTCCTCGAGTTGACTGGACTCACCGCAATCATCTCCTGACTCCCGAATCTTGCCAAATCGTGACCACTTTTCCATGGTTAATGGTAGCCCATTGATCCTGATCTCTCCTTTCTTCTGATCTTGCCGTTTCCCTGGTTTCTCCAAGTTTGCTATGACAATAAGCAGAGCTATCGCTAGTTATATCTTCTTCCAATCTTCTGTTCATTAGCTTTCTTTCAGCCAGAATATGACATCCTCTTTTATCTTCTGTTTCCTTGTACCTTCTCCGTGAGATGCTTTTCTTTTCATTGCCTTTCAGTTGAGATAGTCTCCAGTCTGTGCAATTAGTTCCGCTATTTGTCTATCAATCAATTTTTCTGCAGAGTCTTTGGTGTTCTTTGATTCGCATGTTGATTTTTCTTCCTGATGCGCCTATATAATTCTACTTGCAGTTACCCTATGCTATATACTAAACGCCTTTACTACAGAAATCTCAAAAATTGGCAGAATTACTGCTTCCCCTTATTTACATCAAGACTAGTGAAAACTGGCGGCCTCTTTTTCCGGATAAACTCAATGTGAACTAACTCCATCATTGCAGCCTCAGCCTGTAATTTAAAAGCTAATAATGATAATTCACATTCCAGTGATGCCCTCTGACAATAAATAATAAAGCAATGTCATCTTTTAGTAATGTTCTTTGTCCAAACGCTTTCACTCTAAATAATATTCGCTCTTTTAGTTTTTAATCTTTCGCCCATTTCTTGATGTATCGAACCCCATAATAAAGTAAAAATAGTCGATCAAGCTTTGACGTTATGCAAAATACGCCTCATAATTTCCTAATATAGAAGCCAAATATATTTAGCACATTTTTTGGTGGTATCATCAACAATGAACATTTTTCCATTTGAGGGTGTTATGAAGGACCTTCTTATTTTTACGAGCTATGTTCATCAGTCTTGTGAATGATCAAGCGTGTGTATGAGTTATTTATCAAGGAAGTAGCTCGGATTATTCAAAGCTTAAAAATTAACTAAGAAAATTTGGTAGAGAAAAGAAAAATGACTAATACTATGGCAGAGGATGCAGGATTAAGTACGGTACAAGTCTCTCTGCCGCTTCGATCAAGTTGTAAAACGAGGTCCAGAAATGTGTTTATGACTGTTTATCGTATCTTCCACCTAACTACTATTCGGTTTTAAAATGTAATTGAAATCAGGGTATATATTTTATTTTATTCTGCATCTGTTATTTTTTATTTTTTATTTTTTGTCAAAATATTGCCAAGAATCTTTTCTTATGTAAAACCTGTTTTTTAATGAACTAAAACAAAGCTTTTATATGCTTTTTCTCATGTTTGTCTTTTCTATACCTTATTTTGCCGAATTAATTTTTATTGGCCTCCTTTCTTTCCTATCCATATTAAGTAATCAATTTGCATATAAATATACTTAGATGCCTAGAATTCAACGTAAATGCATCCTTGTATGTCTGAATTTATTCCTTCAGGCCGATGCCGAAGAGGCGCTAGCTGAAGCCATGCCTGCTCTCGAAGCTGCAAGAAAAGCCCTAGACGAGTTGGACAAAAATGATGTCACAGAGATTCGGGCTTTCGCAACTCCACCAGGACCCGTAAGTCAAATTACAATGGTCATCTTAGCTAGTTTGACCGTCTGGATATATGTCCTGGATAATCTTCCTCCTCTGGTATGGGGAACATTAAGGTGAAGAAATAATGAAGACTGCGAAATTATGCCCTGAAGAGCTTTTTACTCTTATAAAGTTTTTAGTTTCTAATTAGGGTCTCGAGACTTCTTGTAAATTAGATATATGAAATATATTCACCCTATTTCCTTTAAGGTGATTAAGGAATGGTAGTTGAATTTTCCCACAATTATATAAGTAGAACTTACAGTTAAATTGAATTTCACATATCCTTGCTTCCCAAAAAAGAGAAAAGGCCTGGCATTCCTTGAACTCCATATCTGCTCTCTAACCCAAAGACACTCGTAGCAATGCGGCATAGTGGCATGAGAAGATTACGAACTACACTATAATTTTTCTAGTCCTGCTGGTAGTGTATATAAGACCTAGGTGGGGTGGAAACTACAGTCCACCCTGGATGAGAATACCTTTTGTGAGCCAAGGTTATGTGAAATTAAGTGGAACTGTAAGGTCTACTCATATTATTGTGGAAAAATTCAATGATCAGTTATTACTGACCTTAAACGAAATCTAGTAAATACATATCATATACCTTTTAAAATTTTATGTAAATTAACGTTAGAAGTAAGATATTGTAGGCTTATAACTTCCAAACAACCTTAAATGGTTCAAATATTACTGTACTTGAACTATAAGATTCATTATCCATTCTCAATTAATTACTTTATTTCATCTCAATTTAACTAGAAGATCGAATGTAAACTCGTTAATTGATAAATATGAGTAAAGGTATGTTGGAAGCTTAAAAGCATTCACGGACATCATTTAAATAGAGGTCAACCTAAATATAACAAGCTGCTTGATAATGGGGACGTTCTAAAAACTAACCACTTCAATCAATTATTTTTGCATGAATCACAAGTACAATCGTTGTTCATTTATTTTAATTTTCTGTGACCACCATCCAATTGCATGTTCACGAATCAAATGCTACTTGATTTTTCGCTCTTCATGCTTCCGATTGGTTATGTCAATGACTCTACCTTTTACGACAATGGCAATAATATCTTTCATGCTCATAATCTTGGCCTTTCGGCTATTGTGGGATGACGACTACGACTGTCAATGCTCACAAATCCGACATCGGCTTTGAACTTAATGGCCAGGTTCAAGTAGTGGGAGAGGCTTTGTGCTACATAATGCAGGCCAGTGACGCTAGCTGGAAGTCAGCGAGAAGTCTGATGGCGGACGCCAATTTCATCAAAACGCTGCAAGAGATGGATTGCGAGGCTATCCCTATGAGAAATATAGGCCAAATCAAAGGTACATAAGTGCTTATTTGATTCATATGACCTTAATTCTTGCAGTTATATCATATGCATCAACAGAAAAGCTGTGAAAATGGTTTGGTTAGGGTTTTTAAATAAGACTGCTAGATGAGCAGGAATATCGAAATATATTTCAAGTTCTTAAGATGATGAATAACCGATTATGTCATGTAAACATGTTTCTTGTGGCACTACACTAAATGTTAATTGAAACTCCAACTACTCCCTTTGAATAAAGGCAGCCAAATTAGGATGACACGATAGCTTGTCACAGCGTTCTAGTAAATAGACTTGCATGCATTTTTATGTATAAGACCATCTTAGGCAACTCATTCCTTAAGAGACTTCTCGCGTCTGACCCTAAATTCCGGAATAAAAGAAGAAGTAAAAAGGACAGGGGAATACACAATGTATTTTTCAATCTTCCTATAGGTATAAACGAGTTAGTACTTAGATAATATCATATTTTTTGTTAAAAATTTTATGTATAGCCTGTTTTTAAAATATGGACTTAAATAGCAGAGCCAAATCACCTTAGAGGTTTCAATTTGCCTTGCTTTTACTTAACTCTCCAATACGCACTGCTCTGCCTAATTTTCTTGGTTTTCTCAATGGCACAAGGATTATTATATCTATTTCTTTCCAAACTAGATAGGGTTTTCAGATACTTTAACTGAATAATATTTTACGTATAAATTGAAGCTACCTAGATCGAAATTCCTAAACAAGTTTGCGATTCTTGTGAATAAAAAATGTGGCTTTGCTCAGTCTTAGCTTCACTTCCTCTTTAGAAACGAGGAAGACATACAAAAATCCACCTATTATCCTAAATACATCCTCTGTTGGCACTCGGCTACTTGCTCCTTGTGTTTAGTCATAAGTTCCCAAAGTAAACAAATTTGGTGTGACTTTAAACTTGTGTAACAAGCTCTCAATATTGAACGCTAAACAAATTTTGCCGCTATCAAATTAATGCTTTCATGTCATAAAGAATAAACTGGGAAAATGGCGATTTTTGATACTTGTTTTGTAGGAAGGATCGCTTTAATATGGTATTTTCCGAAAGCCATCTTATTCTAAAAAGTGCCCATCTAATACATTCGTTTCCTATCGTGTGAGCACTATTTAAGCCAAATTTTGTTGACATAATTTGCTGTTATCTCAGTGAGTATGGAAATCGGGTGGGGTAATCAGCACACTAAGAATCACCTCTCTTTGCCCTACATGGGAGGCATCAGCGATACGCCTACTGAAATCCTTGAGTTTTGTACAAATTATTCGACTGTTTTACTTCCTTAATTAAATTTTATACGATTTCCGGATCCGTCCAAAATGCTTCCCTCCAATCAAGAATTAAAATATGAATTCTTAAATAAGCTCAGGATAAGCCCAATTATTCATCCTTATAATTTTTCTTGCGATGGCTAAATCAGAGATAATCTTAGGACTCAATCATTACAAATATTTCAAGTCAATTGACGATTTAGACGTGCAATTACCATCTAGAATACCTATTATATGGTATAGTCTGACCCTCATCCATGCTGACCAAATGCCGTCAAGATTTCTGTGAATATGCCAAGTGCACTATCAGACTTTGGAAATTCTCATGTATACTATCGTATAGAATCTCTGACCTGGTGCGTTCAGCTAGGCTTCCCTGACAAAATGACTAAATTGTGAAAAAAGGGGGCAAACCACTTCTACTCAATGATAGAAGCTTTCGTATTTAATTAAGTGATAGATATGAAGTCCAAGATAAGGTAGCCTTCGTTTTGTCGCAGTCTCTTTTCGATGTATAGAAGTATTCATACCTCATTCTCACAGCTTGCTCGTGTTTTCAGGACGACTTAGTTGGACAAAATTTGCCCGAAGTCCTCTGCTATAGTAGTAATGATAATTCCCAGCGCCGAACTATATACGTAGTAGATTCCTAGACGTTTAACCAGCATTGTCAGTTAATTTAGTCAGTCTTTTCACCAAGCT